TGCTCTTGTTGTTGTTGTTGTAAAGCTCTCTGCTCGTTCGCTTTTAGTGTTTAATTGCGCGTGTTTGTTGTTTGAAGCTTGCTTGTATTTGGCTTCTGATATTATTTGTTTAAATTAAGGTCACAGTTATACAGCAATGGTAAAGCACGCGCGTTCGGGTCACGCTATGGCCGGCAGTTACAAATTGATTGAAAACGTTAAGCGACGCCCGACCTTTACACACCTTGGCAAACCGAAATCAGTTTCTTCCACAACGGATTACGCGTAGTAGTTTGTAGTTTTTAGTTTTGAGCCAAATTGTTTCGACTGTGTTAGACGCGTTCTGCGAAACAGCGAGAGGAAAGCACATAAACTTCACGCTACGCGCAGCAGCTGACGACTGAGGGAGCTTTTTTCTTGGCTTTTTGGCTGGCAGTGTGTGTGCGCGCGTGTGTTGTTCATTGTTGCCGCTACCTTTGCGTTTGCCTCTGTCTTTGTTTGTTTTTGCGGTTGAGCTTTTTATGTTTTCGCTCTCAGCTGTCGCCGCGTAACGAGAACTCCTCCAACAGAGGGAGAAAGGATTATTTTATAGTTAGAAAACTGCTTAGATTTGAGATGATGGAACTCAAGGTCCACCCATAGCAAGGCTTAATATAGCAAGGCGTCTAAAATGTAGCTCGGCGCAAAAATAAACTACAGTAAAACCTCCCTTGGGCGGACAACTCATTTGGCCGGCCGAAAGAAATCGATAGCCGGCGTAATCAAACTTACATTTAAACTATGCTACTTCCCTTTCCGAATATTAGATAACTCACCTTCTTTAACTGTTGACAGCCAGCGCTGTCCAGAAACCGAGCAACCTAATTTGTATGTAGCTTGTTGTGTAAGCAGCAATCAGAACAAAAGCAACAGCGATCGGGGTCTGTAAACAAATTAAATATAGATATTCATTTAGAAATAGATATTAATTTAAATACGAATCAGAAGTGCACATCGACTGAAATGGAAAAAGCCATTGCAAGTGCTTTCCATCGTATACGACGCATGCATTTACTTTGCCTTTGCATAAAAATACAAAATTAACGAATTAAAAATGCGCAAATCGGTCTTTGACTTTTTACCGTTGTTGTTGTTGTTCCCTTTGTGTGTTGCATTCACTCTCCTCGGAATTTAAAAAGTTTCGGTATAAAAAAAAAAACAAAAGTAAATCAGCCGAAAATACGCGAGTCGAGAGTGTTCGACAACGAAATACCCATTACAAAGTTCCAAGAGCCCAAAACTCTAAAACACAATAACTAAATAGACGAATACTTATTTCATTTGACCCCATTAACCGAAATAATAATAAATAATGAATATTTTAAGCCTAATTTAAAAGGTCATATTTTCTGTAGGTCTATTAGCTGAGATGCATCAAAATTGCATTTCTAAAGCGTTTCAAAAAAGCAATGTTAATAGATAATACCCATTGCAGTTATATGTGAACGAGCATCAAAAATACACCTAATGTCATATTTAATGCATAATACATTTTAACACAAAATATAATATATTCCGTATAAAACGAAACGGTGAAAATGTAAACAGTTTGCCAGACATTGCCCTGTTGCCTATCGATATATATTTATTAATATCGATTAAATTGTATTTTCCAATTTTGTGCTCGATATATATTGAAATAATATAAACAATCAATCCGTGCAACAGACAAGGGGCGCATTAATCAATTCGCATGACCACAGAGCATGGAGACAAAGATTGGATTGCTGCATTTTCCGAAAACACACACACACACGCGCTTGCATGCAAGTGTGTAGTAGTAGTTTTGCCTATTCGTATATATGCACATGTATGCATCAATACACCCAAAGAGTCATACATACGCACCTTTGTAGATAGTTATTTTTCTTGATTGCGTACCGTCAATTCGATTTACATAAGTCGACGCAATACGAAAATTAGCTGAGCATTTGTTTTGTTGACGAAATTATATAGATTTTAGTACACAACACAATATGGCGATATTGCTTCTTTCACTTTTTTTCAGGCCAACTTGTATAAACTGCGCCACACACGCACACACGTTCGATGACAACGACAACGACGACGACGACGACGACGGTGACGATGGGCCGAAATGCATCGGTTATTGCACTGCACTTGACTATATTCTTGCTACGCGGTATTTGGGATTATTGCATCGCAGATTCTGTGCGCCTTCTATTATTATTTTTATATTATAAATAAATACGAGACGAATTAAGCCAGCGAACGCGCTGCGCTTTTCATTCCATGCTGCGGCGCTCACAAACACACACACACACACACACTTACGTACGGCAAATGTAAATGTGAGTGGGCGCACCACAGCGATCTGGCAACACTATTGGTAAAAGCAGCCCTGAAACCAGCTGTCAAAGCCAACTAGAAGTTATCGAATCATTAACTAATGCTTATGAACATTAAGATTACCAATTTAACAAAAAGGATATATACACGGAATGTGTCCATCAATTTTAAATTTTTCGCAATAAAATAATTTCGAGTCAGTGTGCTTAACTGAGCGCTTTTCACCTTACGTCCAGGCCGATAGATTATGGTGGCAAGGCGATAGATCGATAAGTCCTTTTGCAAAGTGATGAAAAAGTCAACGAAACGCAGTAAAATCAATTAAATTAGAGAGCTGAGCTGGCCGTCTAGTTAATATATATAAAAATAAAAAAACTGGGTTATTAAGTGGCCAGGCAGCTCATGTGCACTCCTAGATTAAACAAATAATTAGTGGCAAAAAAAAAAACTGCTAAAGACCACGGCAGGCTCTGTGTGTGTGTGTGTTTTAGTGCGAGCTCCAAAAATCGTCGTGTATGTAGTATACCAATACACGCACAGATCCCAACTATTGCAATTGCATAGTGCCCCTTGACCACGTACTTACGTGTCGAACAAGCAACATTCACAGCGGCGGAGAACAACTGCAGCAGCCATGGATGGCAACAAAGATGAGGCGCAGCGATGCATCGATATGGCTGAGCAGGCATATGCCGAGGGGAGGACCGAAAAGGCGGAAAAGCTGCTCCTAAAAGCGGAAAGACTTTACCCCACGGAGAAGGCAAAGCGTGAGTGTAGTAAATTTTTTCTCAATAATTTTAATTGTAAATCGACAACCCTTTTAGAGCTGCTGACGAAAGTGAAAAGCGCGCCTGGTAATGCCGGCAATGGCAAAGAGCGTCCCGCTGCAGGCGCAGATGCGGACACTGGTCCGCGAAAGCGTGTTAACTCGGATTCTAGGAGCCATGCACCAGAGTACACGAACGATCAGCTGGAGTCGGTGCGAAAAGTTAAAAAGTGTGTATGCATAGCCTTTGTACAATTTGATTTTCTTAACTCAATAATGTCTCCTGTAGATGCAAGGACTACTATGAAGTGCTGGGCGTGACTAAGGCGGCCACTGATTCGGAGATTAAAAAGGCGTACAAGAAGCTCGCCCTGCAGCTGCATCCGGACAAGAACAAGGCGCCCGGTGCTGTCGAGGCATTCAAAACTTTGAGCAATGCTGCTGGCGTTTTGACCGATGTCGAAAAGCGAAAGAATTACGATCTATATGGCATCAATGAGTCGCAAAGCGGACACGGCAACAGAGGCGGACACCATGGACATGGCCAGCACTACAATGATTACGGCGGCTTCCAGGCCGACATCAGTCCTGAGGAACTCTTCAACATGTTCTTCAACGGCGGCTTCTCTCAGCAGAATGTCTACATGCGGCAGCAGCGACGCCGTCAGCATGCGCGCGAGGAGAGAGACGTAAGAAAAGCTAATAAATGAAACAAATTATTAAATACATTTAAATCGATGCTTGCAGACCAACAATTCCTCTGCCTTGATCAACTTGCTGCCCATTTTACTGCTCATCGGCCTGTCCATGATGTCCTCCTTCTTCATATCGGATCCCATGTACAGTCTGACGCCCTCGCAGTGAGTTTTACTTATTTGATCTATTTTCTTGATTTAAACAAATTTATTTGCTAGTAAATACTCTGTGAAGCGCGAAACAAACGGCCTGAAGATTCCGTATTACGTCAAGGACAACTTCTATTCGGAATATCAGGGCTCGGTGGCACGTCTCGAGGAATCGGTGGAGGAAGATTTTATCAATCATTTGAAGCACTCTTGCAGTCGAGAGCGAAACTATCGTAATTATCGCTTCCATCCATTTAACTTTTATAAATTGAATTTGTAATCTTAAATGTCTGCTTTGCAGGCGACTCGATGCTGGCCAAGGCTCGCACGTTTGGTGACCGGGATCTGTATCGGAAGGCTCAGAACATTAATACGCCGTCATGCGAGAACCTGCAAAAGTATTTAATCACATGATTTCAATATCCGCAATACGCTCGCAATGAAATTTAAACGTGATTTAACCATTTTTTCGTTTTGGTTCTAGTTTTTGTCTGCCTAGTTGTTATAAAATGAGTTTTGTTTAAAAATAATTTGTTATAGTTTATGCCTTTTTTACACGAGACACCACATCAAATCAAACTCAAAATATTTATGCATAGATTTAATGAGAAACAGCCGACTTTGAAAATGTCTGCGGAAATGTGCATCTGAAATTCTTAACTAAAGCAATATCCAAATGTCAATTTCGGGTTTTTTGCTAGCTAGACAATTATTTTCATTCATATATAAAATTGACGGCATACAATGAAAACTCTTTCTGGAGAAGCTGTCCGTTTAGAGAGCTTTCACTGTACGTGCTGGTTCGTTAGTCAAATTCTCAAAGGTTTTACCAAGACCAGAGAGAAGTCAACACAATGGATAGTGTTCTAAATAAATACTTTAAATATAATAAACCAAATGGAAAACCTTTTTAATGGAAAAGGCGTCTGTGGAGCAGCAAGGATAAAATGATCTAATTATCTAGAGCACAAATTAAGTCTGGATATTTGTAAGTTAGTTTAAAATCAAACTGTTTCCGGATGACATCTTGGACATGGTCGAAAGGACGCGATACAATCAGGTTTTCTCTTTTTTTTTCTTTACTAGTTATAAATGTACAAATAAAGCAGTGTTATGCTAAGTAAAGGAGACGGCGTGTCCAGGCTGGGTGGGCCGGCGACTCAATTGCTGATGATGGCCTCCAGGGCGGCCACCACATCGCCGCTCTGTTCCCGCAGTACCTTCTCGGCCTGGGCCTTGCTCACGAGCAGTTCGTTCATCTACAGGAGAGGGGCGTGTTTTGTTGGATCATTACATGGGTAAGTGGTCATGGTTTATACTCACGATCAGTTCGATGTCCTCCTTCTTCACCTGCACCTTTTGCAGCTCCTTCTCCTTGGCCACTCGCATCTCGTTTTCTTTGCTGCGCTGATTGCCAAACTGTTCCACGGCCTGAAAGTTAACAATTTCCATTTAAAATTAGTTTGCCATTAATATTTGACTCTTGCGTACGCTCGAGATATTTGCAGCCGAGATTTCCTTCTCCTCCGCGTAGTCTGTCACACGTTCCAGGTCGGCGGCGCCGCCGTCGTGACGCGTTTGCTTCTTTTGCTTGATGTCCTCGTCCTGGCCATCCTCCTCGACCTCGGTGCCATTGACCTCAACCTCTGGCTCTGTTTCCGCCATTCTATTTCGCCGTTTTGTTTCAATTTAGTGATTTATATTTAATTTTGCTTTGTAGCCTCGTGCGAGTGTTTCTTTTTTTGTTTTTGCAACACTACAAGTTGCTGCAGTGTTATTAATCGACTGACCGACACATTTCACAGCGAACATAAAACTTAACGAAACAAATTCATTGCATGACAGCAAAAGCGATGGTGTGTGTATTGGCTATATTCATATCTAAGTTTTGTTGCTCTTGTCAATGATTTTGAATTTTGTGTAGAGTTGGGTACGCGCCAATTTTTCTCGTTCGACATGTAAATAGTTAAATTTCTTATGTTTTCAGAGCAGCAACAATGGCATTTAAGGAATTTTTTAAAAGAAAAAAACTTGGGCATTTGAAAAATAAAATAAATTCTTAATTTGTTTTTAGCGGATTTCCTACAAAATTGAACAGAGCAAAAAATGTGTAGACAAAACTATGTAGAGATGCGTGCCGTTTCGGTTCGTGTCATCTCTATTTCTGAATGTTGATTCATTTGGTCTTAACATATTGAAATATATTTAAATTAAATTTAAATTTATAACCGATCTTTAAAGCATCAATTTGAATACCCTTTCTATATGCCCTTAAATTAAGAGCATGAAATGTAAAACCACAAAACTAATTAAAAATATCTCTAACATAAAGTTTACACTTGCTTGCGGTCAAATGCAGTTTTTTATATCTTAATACACTTTTTTTTTTGTTGAAGCTCCCATAACTCTTGCCTAGTTTGCACGGAATGTAGCTGCTGCGAATTTTGTTGCGGTCAAAATGTTAATTATAAGTTTTATAGCAGACATAATGAGATTCTGGGGCAAGCGGTGAACCCAAATCCGACAGCCTTGCTTCCTAGTCGTCGGCGCGCTGCGGGCGTCCTGCTCCATGTCCTGCTCGATGTCCTGCTGTATGTCCAGCTTCTCCTGTTGACATAATCGTTTGCCATCATGATTAATTTAATTGTCACTTTGACGCAAGCGACTCGCACTCTCGCTTGAAAATCAAGATTAATTAACAGCTCGACCCACGGGCGGTCAACATCATTTGTTAGTGTAATGCCCCACGCATGGCGGGAGCATATGTGTGATAGTGTGTGTGTGTGTGTGTGTATCTGTGTGTGTCAGTTGCAATTTTAATTTAATTCGATTACCCTTCGGCGTCACTCGTCAGCGATTTTTGCTTGGCTTTAACCGTTGTTGCAGCAGCTGGAGAAGCCTCCAAATGGGGCTCTGGCCCTGGCTCTGGGCGTCATTTCCCATGCAGGACACGCTCGCAGCCAAAAAAATTTGTTTGTCGCCGTGTGCCAGCACATGAGGCAAACATATTGCTTTGCATACACTTGAAGAAAATACTAATCATGAATCATGTTCAAGCGTTGTCGAAATCCAAGCCAAGTTCGAAACGCGCTCTTTAGCTCTTGTTTTAAGAATTTCATTATTTATTATTAATAATACAAATAATTATTACTAATGGGAAATTTTATTTTCAATTGGTATGTAAATTCTTGTAGTAAGAATACTAATTATTTTCTTAAATAATTGTATTTATTTATTTAATTTAAAGCCTAATTCAAGAACTTTTATTGGTCTGATATCTACATACTAGAAATTAGAGTATATTTATTTCTCTGAGTGTATGTATATATTGGTGTACGTGTGTTTGTTTGTGTGTGTGTGTGTGTGTGTGTGTGTGTGTGTGTGTGTGTGTGTGTTTGGAGCAACAGGCCGCTCATTTAAAATGCTTGTAACCATTGCCAGGGCCTGCTTCCAATTGGAATCATGCCTGATGTCGACGCTCAGCTCTGCGCTGCGTTGCCAATTGCCAATTGGGAATTAAATTATGCCGCTAATTAGCAATGGCAGAGTCCAAACACACTCACGCACACGCACACATAGGCATGCACATGCACATAAATTATGTTGGCAATTTTGGGGCTCATTGTGGTTTTGGCCTCGCCGCACTGCATATTTTCAGGCGCCATTTCCACAACCATTTCCACTTCCTTTTCTATTTCCACTTTCATTTTGCATGTGCCACTGAACGCCCGAATTCACACAGTAAATTTTGGCTTTTGCATTCCTCGAAATAGATGGCAGCCGCAGCTAAAGGGGGTTCGGGGGCAGAGCATGCGTGTGGGGGTGGGGTAACAGACTCTAGCAGGGTTGCCATTCGTCAGCGACGGCATTTGGCCGCGTGCTCCAATTGAGTTGCATTGTTTTTTATTGCCCTGTCGGAAGGGAGTGCGAGGAGTGTGGGTTGGGGAGGAGGAAGTGGGGGTTGGGATTACGGTAGGGCGGAATTTATCTTTGTTTGCCTGTGCGGGTTAATTTCATGTTTTGACATTTGTTTCGCCGCGTGGTTAAAGTGGCTTGCAGGGTATTGGCAGGATTGACTCGCACTGTGGCTGAGAAGGTCAGTTGAGTACAAGAATAAGTGGCACATTTTGTTTATATGGGATATTTGAGAGTATAACTTTTACATACATTTTTACCAAAAAACACTGCTGCCAGATTTAGGGGCCAACTCACGAAACAAAAAGCGAAACTTTATAGAAATCTGATGAGATTTGACCGATTTCTGGTACTGGGAATTTTCGACCTATGTCGTTATAGAATATTTTGGGGTTCATTTTTTACATGAATTTTGACCAAAAACTATGTTGCCAGATTTTGATGACAAATTGATTTAGAGGAAAATCGGATTAGATCTAACCAAGTTATGGGACTGGGAAATAACGACCGATGTCCCAAATTTACCTAGAGGGAGTGGGAAATTTCGACCTATGTCTGTATAGAATAATTGAATGTAACATTTATTGATTAATTGATTATTATTATTTTTTAATTTATACTAAAAATAAAATGTATTTATTATTTATTTATATATATATTTATATATCCAATTTATGTCTCTTTAGAAGTGGCCTTAATTGGGATAATTTCCCTGTTCCCAACATTGATCTCTTTCCATATACTATATATAGTTTCTCTGCAACTCCAATAGGTCCATAAATAAATTGCTCAGCTGTTCTTCTTAGGAATTGCATCTATTTGTGGACTTAACTCAATTATTGCATTGATTAAAGCCATTTGCAGCTGCAGCTCAATAATTTCACTTCGCCAGAATTTTCATTGAGCAAATTTGTAAAATCTCATTTCGAATTGGACCTCAGAATGAAGCTCTGATTCTGCCCGCCCGCCTCCAGTTCATTGAAGGATGCAACGGATACGTGCCACATGCACGCACGTGTGGGAGGAAGGGGAGGGGATATGGAGGGGGGGGGGGGTCAGACAATCGATTTGTATTTGCAGCCTTGTTGCATGTCCTCCGCTTGTTGGCCAGCTGGGCTGCGTCAATGCCATTTTGGCCATTTCCCCATTCGACATGCAGTCAATAAATAAATTTGCATAGCAAATAAATGAAGAAAATGCAATTTTCAAGAACAGGACGAGGCACGCAACTGTGCATTAAATGCAAGGAAAACGAATGCCCAGGAATCCCCAGAAATCTGTACATATCCCGCTTTAAGCCATCGCATGGCATAATTGCCCGGCAACTCAATTAGGCTAATAACACGCGAGCTTGAATGTGGTACAAGCTTTAGCTGCGGGTAGAATGCGGGCTGTCCTTACGATGTCCTGGCAAACTTTGCTTTATTCGCAAATTGTCCAAAAATAATTGAGCCATTAAAAATGGCGCTCGATTGGTCAAACAAAAGTTCGCAACTGTAACCGTTACAAGAAACTTGCTCCTTGCCCGCGATGAAAGGATGCCAGAAGAGGATGTTGTGTGTGCCCGGCGACCTATTGACGACCTTTATCGCGCACTGTACATAAACCATAATCGCAATTGGCAAGTGGCCGCCACTCGACATCGCCATCGGCATTGTCATGCTTGGCAGGAGCAGGACACACACACGGAGGGACATACACACACACACAAAGGACACGCTGGACACAGTGAAACGCATTCAACGGAAGCGCTGCTCATTCATTTAAAAGTTGTCTGCAAGTTGCCAAGTTCTGCCTCCCTCCACCCTCTCCCCTTTCCCACATTCACACACACACACACACACGGAGAAGGTGCAATCGTAAAGTCCTTTCTTCCGCTTTTGAGTGTGCCATCCCCCTCTCGCCCCCCGCCCCCTTCGCCCACCTCCTGCTGGCATTTTAGCAAGTTTTGCGTTTAACAATTTCGCTTCCTTCCGCTTTGGCTAAACGGCGCCAGGTTGTCGTGGAAATTTGTTTTAATCGTCATCTTTGCCATCCTTCGTAAGCGCTTCCCTACTTCTGGAGAAATTTCGTCCGCAAGGTTTGTTGACGTCCTTCCCCCTCGCTCTTCCTCCCTTTGCCTACCGCTTTTGAGTTTTGGGGCCAACTCCTTCTTTCTCTTATCGATGGCCCGTTCAATATTTTATTAGTGTCCTTAGCTGTGCGACTCGCTGAGCACCCAGGCGCCACATCCTACCGTGTACCTTCGCCCATTTGGGAGCGGGGGAGGGTGGCTTCGGGCCAAGTTTTCCGCATGCCTTTGCCTTTTGCCCGGCACTTTGATTTCTTGCTCTTGAGCGCGCAATAAATATTTATTTGCCTGTAAGGAATCCAACTCCTCGACTCCAGCTGCTCCTCGACTTAAATCGGCCATTTAGTGGACTTACCTAATGGCGCACTGTCCGACATTCGGGGGCCTGGCTGCGCTCATATATAAGATGTTTGCAGAATAAATTATATTATGCCTCAATGGACTACAAAAGTCCTACAGGTCCGAGTACTTGCCATTGGCATTTGATAAATTTTGTATGAAATAAACTTAAATCAATTACATACAAAAAAATTAATTATTAATTATGATTTTATTATTATTAATTTTATTATTATATTTAGTAGAACATTATAATTATTAAATAATTTGTGTGATATAAAAATTACTTTTTTATTTAAAGTCGGGGTATTTTATAAATTGAGCAAGAAAAGCATAAATAAATTAGTTGCATAAATAAGTATTAATTAAAAAAGTCGTAATAGAGTACATTCTCAAATACTTTTTGTAATGAAGTGTGAAAAAACTTTTAAAAAAAACTTTCGGAACGAAAAACTAAAATAAATTAGTTTGAAAA